ATAGAAACACTGGCTGCAACGGAGCTTACCCAGCCAACGAGAAAACCATATTATAAAGAGAAAAGTGGAAAAAATCGCTTTATATATGACTCTAATACGATGTGTAAACAGGACCACATGTCCTTGGGAATGACGTGTATACTCAAAGCTCCGTATATGAATGCTAATAGGCCTGAATCTTAAAAGCCTTTTCCCGAAGAACTGCCTAAAGCTTCCGTTGTTTGAACAACAGAGATCAATTTTCTATATATCATGAATATTGCAGCCGCTTTCATCATACCTGCTCGTCATACCTGACACCAAGCTACCGAGTAATATTAGGAGTGTAATATGAATATCAGGTTTCCAAAATGTAAAAACGATTCGCATACCACACACTGTGCAAATCTACTTGGTATATCATTATGCACCAGTATTTAATATAAAAGGTTTTACTGACTTCCACTGTGACAGATTTTTATTACTTCCACCACATTGTCGCTTTCGTCATCATCATCATCATCCTGGGCAGTTTCATTTTCAGCTGTGTCATGTGGTTGGTAGTTCCTCCTTCGTAAGGCCACGCTAAGACTGAACCGCAACCCTTGTGTCATTTAGAATTCAGCTTTAAGTTAAGCATCTAAAGATCAACCCTTAAATAACCATATCACGTTCGAATAGTTAATCGATGTTGGTAAATTATTGGCAACCAGTAACACACACTGAAAATATTGATGATAACAATGATGATGACCATGACCATGACGATGTAGGTGATGACGATAAGGATAAGCCAGAGATGCCAAGGGGAAAGAAATTATGTAGACCACAGATTTAAAAGTTAAGTTTACCTCTGTTCTTCGAGCGAAATCCAGGGATATTATCAAAACACTTCAAGGCACAGAGTGTTCTCAAAGTTTTCAAAATTATAGCTCAAATGAAATCGAAGAAATTCCAAACCCAATATTTAGAGCAAATGTTTTAAATCTACCAAAATTTAAGTTCAAGCTGTATACTCTAAAAGATAAACTCCTCCTTTATATGCACCTAAAGGTGTAAATAATGCCAGCCATTATTATAATGATGATGTTGCCAATAACATATTAACGACCGAAGGAACGAACAACCGACAAACAGACCGATCAAAGGTCTCCTCAGCATAGCGCAAACGAAACCAGCGGCAGATGTTAAAGATTTTCAGTAAATGATAGGAAAGAGTATGGCAAGTAAACATAACCTAATAACAATGCTCCTCAGCCAGTCTAAGGAGTCCGAACAGGAAAACAACAACACATTTCGAATGCAGTCGAAAGCAATTCCATGAACAGCTTATCCGCTGCCACCCTCATCCAGGGCTTGCAAAAATACTACGAAAATATGCAGGTTCAAGTTTTGCCTGTAAAATATATAGACCTCCCTTGTTTTTTGGTTTTTCTTTGCATTTCTTTATCGCAGAGTAAAGGTTAAAGTTGCTTTGTTTTCGTCAGCGAAATAAATTTCTTATATCTGGCCAGACAAAAGTGGGAGGAACCCCAAATAGTAACACCTTAGGCTACCTGGCGAAAACATAAAAATGTGGTAAAAACTAATATATGGTCGTGCTAAAACAATAGAAACAAAGGAAAATCACTAAGGAAGCAACTTGAAAATGGATAGTTGTTTTTCCGTTCGATATTGAAAAGCCATTTAGATTTTGGAGATTTTAAAACAAAGAAATAACTTAGAAAACAAATTTTTAACGGGTGACGGGTTGCGGTTGTGTGGAAAGAAAGATTTTGAGGTAATATAAAAATATCATCGCATTGGGTACTTTATGGTGACTATTTCGGTAGTTTTCTATCTAAAGAAGACGTCTTAAAAAGGAATATCCACATAAGAAACTTGTGAATTCATGAATGCCATTTGAACCCCTAAATATTTTGAGATCATCTCCAAAAGCAAGAAGCCCCTCCTCATCTGTAAATTTAGTCTCGTCTACATGATTTGCTTGTCTACGATATTTGGCTATATTCGTCAACGAAATCAGCATAAAAAAGCCAGCCATTCCTAAAATGTACAATTCATTACTATAAGTCAAATTAAAAAAAATTGCATGCGATAAAAAATATGAAAAAAATATAAGAATATCACAAAATGCTACAAAATTTATATTAACATCATAATTGGCATCTTTTTAGGCATTTTTTTTTTGATTTTATTTTTTATGCCAAAAGGGCATTCTGAATTGACAAAATTTGTCGAAATCGGTCCAGCCATTCTTGAGATATAAGCATTCTAGCTAACATCCCTTTCCTTTGTATATACACATTTTATATATTTCGCTATATATATATCCGATATATTTATTATCGGCATCTACTGATTCTGACCGTTACGAATTGACTTTTTCGTATATTTGTGATTTCGCCGGGATTAAAAATATTCGCGGTTTAATGTTCGCCCAGCCCTAAGCGACCTGTAGAGCAACTGCAAATCAGTTTTTAGTCCATTTCAACCCCTAAATATTAGCGTGATAACCAATTAACACCGACAGACGGACATACATAGCTTGATTGACTCAGCTCGGCGAGATAGGAAGATCCATATATAGTTTTCTATGTCGGAAACCATTATGTTGGGGTGTTTTGGCCCAAACTTATAATACCCCCAACACATAGTGTTTAAGTGTATAAAGAGTAAAGACATTGACTTACTGATTGACTGACCTAACAGACGAACGTCTGAAGCTATAATCTTGAAATTTTGGGTGAGGGTCAGTTTTGGTACGAAGGTGTCAGATAAGGCTTTGGATAAGGTTTTTGGGAAATTCGTACTAGAACGGTACGAGAAGCACTCAAGGGTACGAAATATGGTACCATTTGTGTTTGACGAACCAGTAGTGATAGTACAAAAGAATTTTTGGAAATTCGTACTAAAAGTGCACGAAAAGTACTATAATGTGCTGAATTTGGTACAATGTGAACGTTGAAGCTAAAACAACTTGAAATGGAAATCAAGGTTGAGGAGTAGGGTCGATGTAAGGAGATAGTTTTGGAAATGTGTAGTCAGGTATGCGAAAAGTACTAAATTTGGTACGATTTGAATTTGAAGGAACGGATGGAGCTGGAATCCTGAATTTTCAAATTAAAGTTACTAGCGAAGCATTGGACTGGGATATATGTGTAAGTTTCGAAATGTATACCTATATGCACGAAAAGCATTAAATGGTACTAAATTTGTTACAATATAAATTTTAAGAAAATCGATAGAGTTGGAATCTTGAAATTTTAAAATAAGATGTCTATTGGATGGTACTAAATATGGTAGAATTTGGATTAGGATAGAGCTGGTATCCTGAAATTTGAAAATAAGATTCCTATCAGAATATAGTACTGGGACATGCACTAAATAGAGCTAAATTTGGTACAATATTTTGAGCATTGGAAAGGCCTAACTGTTGGAACGGATTTAAAAATTTTAGGTGGACTTTGTTAACACCGAACTACTACATTTATATTTAAAATACTGAATGGAGCGCCTAAAAGCAAGCTTCAAAATCCGTAAGACAAATGTGAAATAACTACTGATACTCTGGGGCTAGAACCTTGAAAATAAACATGCTGTGGATGCGTGGGCGATAGGGCAGCCTTTTTGGAAATTGATAGTAAAAGATACTAAGATCTATCTATGCTAAATGGTAAAATATACTTCTATTACAATCGGTAAGAGCTAGACGTTTGAACCATTGTATGAGTATAAATTCTACATTTTTGGTATTTATACTTCATGGGACCTAACAAGTACGAAATGATAAAACATAGTTGTAGTGTGACCGGACAAGTTTTAACTTTGGAATTTTCCATAAAGTTTATAATAAGGAGGGATTTTTAAAAGGCCTTTTTAAAAGGATCGTATATACTTATAACTACAACAACAATTACAACAATTTTGCTTGACGGTCACTGGTGGATGAGATTGACCCTTTTTTACACTTAAACATTGTACACAGTACTAAACCAGTAAGGAAATTCACAAAGTCGGCGGCCGCATATATGATACCCTATACCCGTAACAAAAGAATTTACTGAACCTACCACCTATCAACATTTGGCTTTAGAGCAGTTATAGTTTGGTTTCAGATGGAACTAATATATGGGAGGCATATCCAATTTTAAATCGATTTTCACGAAATTTGACGAAGACATTTTAATATTTTATACCATATAACATTGCTATAGAGTGCATGATATCACTTCGAGAAGGATTATATTAATAATATATATTGGAGTTGAGTTCCACCAAATGGATACGAGATCCACTCCATTTGGGCTGATATTAGCCATTATTTGCACAATAAACCTGAAATCGGATTAAGGATATATATGGGAGCTTTATCCAAATCTTAGCCGTTCTCGATAAAATTTGGCAAAGGTATTTAAGAGCTCTATAAGATATTTGGTACAAAATATCATTGTTGTTGAATACATATTACGAATGTGAGAGACTTAAACACCAAATCGGATGAAACATATATATGGGAGTTATAGATATATCTGAACCGATTTTTACCAATTTGCTTTTAAACTGAATTTGGCCAGATGTGCGAAAATTCAGGTCAGTTGGACTGATTTTGGCTGTTGGATGCACAATTAACCCGAAATCGGTTGAAGATATATATGGGAGCTATATCCAAATCTGAACCGATCTTGACAAAATTTCAGGTACTTATTTCTAAGCTGTATCTTATATATGTTACCAATATCATTGTTGTGGAGTGCATATTACGTATGTGAGGGAGATATAGCTATATCTGACCCGATTTTCACCAAATTAAAAATACTTGCTTCTAGATTGAACTTAGTCGGAACAGCAAAATTCAGTCCATTTGGACTGATATATCGATTGAATATATATATATGGAAGCCTTGAGTTATGATTTATGGTATCCAACGCAAAATCCCCAGTACCTTAATATAAGTGATTATTTCAATAAGTAAAAAACTGAAAGGCCAACATACTGTATCCTCCATTAAAAAACGTCATTTAATTGCATGCAAGATAGTAGCATTTTATTAATATTGCCGTTCAATTAATAAGCATTAAAATAATTTAGGACGTATGGACAATTCAACAAATTTCAAAGAATAATAAAGGGCCCGAAATGCATTCCAAATAACTCCTCTACCATAGAGTGTGGTTGAGCCCCTTAAATACTCGCCATTTAGATTACTGTAAAAGAGAAGAATGATTTTTATGCATCCAAAAATTTCCATTTCGAAATTTCTCAGTCACCTACCAGGCATGACAGCTTTTGTACCACCAAGCACCCACATATAACTGAGCGCAATTGGCCAAACTTTGTAATTTATAGTTTTCCTTTTCACTCGCTACCACAAAATTATCGTATTTGGCATAACGACGAACATCATCAAAATCCTCCATGACCACCCACAGCTCATAGCGTCGACTATTGGTGAGTTTATGCAGACGTTGTAGACCAATAAAGAACTCTCCGCTTTGATTACCGAAGCCATGTTTGTAGTCCTCCCAAACGCGATAAAAGTTTTCAGAGCCATCCATACGCCGTTGTATGACGATTTCACCATTTATGTGTTCCTCTTGATGTTCAAATTTTCTGTTGAGTCTTTTAATTTCACCCTCTAGTTCAGTTAGGCGTTTATTCAAATCTTCATTAGATTTTACAAATTTATAAACATCACTGTACCAACGAATCAAGCCTTCCATGTCATCTGATTCGCAAAATTTTGGTGAAATCTGAAAAAGGGTAAAAAATACAAACAATTGTTAAAATTAATTATTGAGGAAATATTATAATGTGAACATTTGACCTAATTAGATATTCTTAAAATCTGGGACTTTAAGCCAGTTATTGTGATGAATTGAAGGACATTTCTTGTAGTTCACTAATGTCAATTACCAATTGAACTAAAAACCAGTAAGGAAAGGTTTAAAGTCGAACGGGCCGACTATATTATACTCTCCACCACCAAGCGTATTTAGTAGAGCTTCCGTAACAAAGAAGTTTATATAACGAATTTATGTGAAGTAGATCATACCAAATATGAACCAAATAACATTGCTGTATAGTGCGAGATATATGATTATATTAAATAATATTTATTGAAGCAATAGACATACCGGACCGAGTTTTACCAAATTGGAAAAATTCGTTTGAATTTGAAAAAATGTATTAAATCTAGGCTGATACTACATATATGTTGAGCAATATCCGTAAAATAAAGATGTATATCGAAGGTATATAAAAATCTGAAACGATGTCGATAAAATTTGGCAGAATTGGAGTAGTATATTATGCACGGTATCAAACATCATTGTTATGGAGTGCATATTACGCCATAGCTATATACGAACTCCGTCGGAAGTTTCAAAATTCAGTACAATAATATTAGCCATTTGGTGCACAAAAACATGAAATCGGATAAAGATTTATATGGTAACTATATTTAAAACTGACCGATCTTGAAAAAATGTTAAACACGTAATTTTGAGCAGTATCTGATATCTGGTACCAAATACTATTGTTTTGGAGTGCGTATTACAAATGTGGGGGACTTTAACGCCAAATCGGATAAAATATATATGTATGAGAGCTATAGCTATATCTAAACCGATTTTCACCAAATTTGAAGTACATATTTCTAGGATGAATTCAGTCGAAATTACCGAAATTCAGGTCATTTGTACTGATACTGATATTTTTCTTTGGTGCACATGAAACCTGATATCAGATAAAGATATATATTGAAGCTATATTCTAACCTGATCCGATTTTGATAAAGGTATTTCTGGGCTGTATCTGGTACCAAATATCATTCTTGTGGAGTGCATAATACGAATCTGAGGGACTTTAAATCCCAAATTGAATGACACATATATATGGGAGCCATAGCTATATTTGAATTGATTTTCACCAAACTTTGAAGTACTTGCTTCTATACTAAATTCGGCCAAAATTCAGAACATTTCGACTGATATTGGTCATTTGGGCACAATTAACCCGAAATATATTGAAGCTATATACGGGACCTATATCTAAATTTGAACTGATTCTTACCGATTTCAATAGGGTTCGTCCTTGGACCAAACAAATATTGTTTGGAAAATTTCAAAAATACATGGACAGACGTACTGACTGGCATGCATAAATTGACTCAGAAAGTGATTATGTGAAGATACTCAAAAGTATCTATTGGTCTACCCCTCCTCCTTCTCCATGGTTCAAACAAATACAGAAAGACATAATATCCTTACCACTATGTGGTGTAGGGTGTAATGAGATTTGCCATAAAATGGAAGAATCACGCTATGAGAAATAAAAATTCACTGATTTTCAAGTGTTGTTCATATTTACGACGATTGGTCGTTAAACCAAATTGAAGATGTTTGACAGTGGAACCAATCACGTGAGCTGTTTAAACAAATGTGGCCAAGAAGATAATAGCTAATGCATAACGTTTTTTGCCTTTAAAAGCATTTCTTTCGAAATAGATAGATTTCTTCGAAATTTTGTTTTGCACATTCCTGATAACAGAAAAAAATATATACTGCTCGAATACTATATCGAAACACATATACATTAATCTAATTAATAATAGTTAAATATATCAATATTCATTTAACTTTGACACCACTAAATTCCTTTACATACCACTTCCATATTGCATTGTTCCAAAATATTAAAATACAATAATATAATGAAAATAAAATATGAAGACCACTTAATATAATTCATTTTTTTATAGATTCAAAATTGCAACGCTTTCAGAACTGTCAACACTTGTTATGATTTACGAACTGAAATCTAAGAAATTGTTGGGTTTTTAAAAAAATAAATAAATTTCATTGTTTGATAAGGACCTGTGCTTAATGACACCGACGTAGCTAAGAATCTGGTCATGCTTTTCGCCTGTTCTAAACTAAATTTTAAACTCTGTTTCGAAGGTTCCAGGTATTCGGAATATATTTTCCATTATCTCGAAAATATGCTTGCATTTTCGTAGATCACGGAAACGTTCGACTTTTTTATCAGGATTAAAAAAAAAACAAGTAAAAAAGAACTTTATTTAAGTTATGAAAGATAAAAGTATTAAAAATTGTGATCCTTTGTGGTTAAGGTACCAGAAAGTATTCGCAGATATATATCATCCTCACAACAGATCTTGTGACAGGGATGTGGGATGTGTGAAATGTGAAGTGAACCGAATGCTTGCATCGGATTTTATAATCATTTTGGTTATTCAAAACTTTGACGCTTTGTGGAGGAGGTACCAGAAGTAATGGTCCGATTTCTACTAGCTTTATAACAGATGTTGTGTTGATAGAAATATTGAGATGTGCCAAGTATGAATGGAATCGGATGTTAATTTTTCGCATTATTTAATTTAATATTCAAAATGTTGACCCTTTGTGGGGAATCACCAAAAGGCGTGGACCGATATATTTCATCTTCACACCTGACCTTGGGTTAATAAACAATATTATGATGTGTGTAATTTGAAAACAATCGGACTCTTATATCACAATTTATTAGAGTTATAATTATTCAAAAGTTTGACCTTTTCGATATTGTCCATTTTCTCACCTGACTGATGCAAATATTAGGACTTGCAAAGTTGGATCAAACTCGGATTATCATTTTTCTCTCTGTACATTGAAGTATATTTTTTTGAAAATTTTGGCCTTTTGTGGGGAAGGAACCAGAAGGAGTGGACCATATCTGAGTTCGAAATAAATTTGATAATAATATTACGATTTAAGAAGTTTGGTCCAAATCGGATAGACCCTTCAATAAGTATCGTGCGTACCAGCCAGCAGACAGACAGACATTTGGTCCAAAGAGACCTGGGGTCTAAAATCGTTATTTCGATGAGGCACATTTTGGCTGTACCAAATGATATATACAAAATTTGAAATAGGATATGCAAATTTGATTCTTCAATTGGGCTTGCAATAAAAGGACATTACTTAGACAAATTAACTTCAATTTTAAACAGCACACTTCTTGATCGAGATAATATAACGAGGACCCGTTCTAATATAATATACAATTATATTGGCAAAATCATTAAATTTTATGAAACATTTTTAAAATATTAATGTGAGGTGAAAACATCAAGTCTGTAATAAAACAGACTCTGTAAAAAAATTAATTTAATTGTTTAAAAACAAAGCCAAAACTACTTTGAATTTTTCAATCAAAATGTTCATAATAAAATTTGGTATCAGGCTTGAAGGTTGTCTCACCCCCTGAAATGAAATCCTGGCTACGTCCCTGCTTAATGATAATACCACTGAAAACAATATATTATGTACTTCATCTGTTTGGCTTTTGCGTTATGCATGTGACCATTACTCCGTCTCATCACATTTATATGTACACAAGCTTAACCCGGTGCGCTTCGCTACCCCTTTTGATTTTATTTGCATTCAAAATTTAATTTATGTTATGGTTAAAAAAAAACAAATTTAAAAATTTAAAAAAAAAAAAAATTATTGCACTACTTTAATGCGTAAATAAACAAAACCATTAGAAAAGCAGTAATCAGTTATTTATTTCATAGCAAATATCCAGCGTGCAGTAAACTGCAATCTTTTGAAGTTGAGTGACATTTCTATTGCAATTAGTGAATTCGAGATAGTAACATACTTCGCCGTAATAAGCGTATTTCAAATTAATTGTTGTGTTGTTTTTTAGTGTTAGCCTAAAGCGTTGTGGGTCAATGGTTCTTATTAAAATCATATCCCAATCTGATTCGATTTAAATATAATTTAAAAAAAAATACTTTTTCATCAAATTCCGCCACACCTTTCATATTTTATTGAAATTGGTGCGTCAAATATATGAAATCGGCCGAGAATATATATATGGGAGCTATATTCAAATCTTAACTAATTTCCAGTTAATTTGTCAAAATTATTATTCTAACCAAATTCCGCCACACATTCTGAATTTCATTGGTATCGGTCATATACATCATGTTTTGTGGATAACATGTAAGAAATCGACCGAAATATATATTTTAGCTATACCCAAACCTCAACTGATTTCAATATAATTTGGCAATTTTTTCTGGTGCCAGATTTCGTCTCTCTCGCTTTGGGTGCATCAAATATGTGAAATCGGCTGAGTATATATATGGGAGCTATAATCAAATCAGAGCGTATTTCAAAATAATTTGTCACATTTATTTTTGTACCAAATTTAGCCACTCATGCCGAATTTCATTGGAATCGGAAATACGTATCGTGTTTTGTGCATCAAATATGTGAAATCGGCGGAAAATATATATGGGAGCTCTATCCAAATCTGAACCGATTTTAATATAATTTGACTAATTTATTTTCTAATAAAAATCCCGTTACATATTCCAAATTTCTTTGGAATCGAACATACATATCGTGTATGGTGCCTAAAATACATGAAATCGGTCGAAAATATATATGAGAGCTATATCCAAATCTGAACCGATTTTAATATAATTTGACAAATGTATATTTGTTTTAATTTCCGCTACACATTCCAAATTTCATTGAAATTAGAAATACATAGCGTGTTTGGTGTATCAAATACATGAAATCGGTCGAAAATATATATGGGAGCTATATCCAAATCTGAACCGATTTCAATTTAATTTGACAAATTCATTTTGGTTCCCAATTCCGTTACTTATTTTAAATTTCATTACAATTGGAAATACATATAGTGTTTGGTCCACCAAATACATGAAATCGGCCGAAAATGTATATGGGAGCTATATCCAAATCTGAACCGATTTCAATATAATTTGGAAAATCCATTTTTTAAATAAAGTCTATCACACGTTTCAAATTTCATGGAAATTGGGGATACATAGCGTGTTTGGTGCATCAAATGCTTGAAATCGGCCGAAAATATATATGGGAGCTATATCCAAATCTGAACCGATTTCAATATAATTTGACAAATTTATTTTCGGATTAAATCCCGTCACACATTCCAAATTTCATTGGAATCGAACATTCATATTGTGTTTGAGGCATCAAATGAACGAAATCGGTCGAAAATATATATGGGAGCTATATCCAAATCTGAACCGATTACAATATAGTTTGGCAAACTTATTTTTGTTCCAAATTCCGTTACGTATTCCAAATTTGGAGACTGTATCTTCAACCAATCAATAGATATGTGCATATAAAATCTAAAGTTTTGGGAGGTACCTCCGATTCTGATGCTATATCTCCAGTTCCAAGTGGAAATTCAAAAATGTATATAGCCTATATTACTTTCAGGCGATGTTGCAGTATATATGGAAATTTTCAGGAAAATCTATTCAGCGGTTTTTGAGTCCATAAATTACAAACAAACAAACAAACATACAAACATTTTCCTCTTTTATAGATATAGATATAGAAGATGAAGAGAAACAAGCTATACCTCTCAATAACACATAACAAAAATATTGCGTTTGTTCCCAAAATTAGGTTTTAAACTAGTAGAAACTCGTTAAGTTTAGCTGGGAGGAACTTTAAAAACCCTCCCCCATGAGATATAGAAAACGAGAATATATATCGAAGCTATATATAAATCGCAATCGATTTCTTATTAATTTGTCAAATTTATTATTGTAACCAAATTCCGGCACACATTCTGAATTTCATTGGAATCTAACATACACATCGTGTTTAGTGCATCAAATATGTGAAATTGGTCGAAAATATATATGGTATCTATATCCAAGATCTGTACCTATCTCATTATAATTTATCAAATTTATTTTCCAATCAAATCCCATCACTCATTCCTAATTTCATTAAAATCGAATATACATATCGTGTTTCAATATCCAAATCTGAACCGATTTCAATATAATTTGACAACTTTATTTTCTGATCGAATCCCGTCACACATTTTAAATTTCATTGGAATCGAACATATATATCGTGTTTGGGGCATCCAATAAACGAAGCCGGTCGACAATATATATGCGAGCTATATCCAAATCTGAGCTGAATTCATTTCATTTCACATTTCATTTATTTTACAGATACAAAAAATAATAGCCTATTCCAGCAGTCTTCTGCCCCAAAAGACAGAACCTGTTACAAATTCTCTTAGATTCGTTCCAACAGTTCGTGCAAGGCCTCTTTATACCCTCCACCATAGTATGGAGGGTATACGAAGTTTGCCATTCTGCTTGTAACATTTCAGAATGAAGTAGGTTGATAAAGTTTTACTCAAATTTATATTACAGGGTGAAATAAAAAAACTGCAACAAAGTCAAATGCCATAATTTTTACATTTTTATACCCTACAACACTATGTGTTGGGGGTATTATAAGTTTGATTGGGCCAAAAATTATGTAACACCACTAAATATTGGTTTCCCACATAGGGAAGTATATATTCTTATCTTCCTATCTCGCCGAGCTGGGTCGATCTAGCTATGTATGTCCGTCCGTCCGTCTGTCCATCTGTCCATGTTAATTTGTAATCACTCTACAGGTCGCAATTATGGCCCCATCTTCACGAAATTTAGAATGGAGGTGGGGTTAGGGTCAGAATAGAACCCTATTTCTTCTGGAGATGATCGCATAATATTTAGGAGTTGAAATGGACCAAAAACTGAAAAAAAATCTGATTTTGCAGTTGCTCTACAGGTCGCAATTATGGACCAATCAAAGCGAAAGTTAGCGTGCGGCTAGAGCTTAGGGCTGGGCAGAAGCCTTCTTATTTTGATGGTCATCGGGTAATATTTAGTGGGTGAAATAGGCCACAACATTTGTGTTAGAT